AGAGCTCTTAATGCACACAATCATTTTTGGGACAATGTTTCAAATACTTAACAATAAATTGTGCTAAATTTTGACTGTTTTCTGGGTGTTTTCCTTTTTTTAGACTAGTCTTAATTAAAATTTTCGTTAAGTCGACAGGGAAATAAGTTGCCAGGAACATCCCTAATAGTGGCCAATGGCTGTGCAGCCTCCACTAGTCAAGCACGGCTGTACACAGGGCTCCAGCAAGTGTGCTGGGCTTTGAAGTCAAGGATCATAGTGGCCAGACAGTGGTACTGCAAATTTCCAGGGTCTGTCACATGACGCCCTGCTGCCCAAAAAAAAAAAAACAATAATTCAGTTGACTTACATAGTGAAAAAGACATCTGTAAATTAGTGAATACATTTTTTGGGTGTCACAACTCCCGCGAAATGACCGATTCCAATATCAGGATTTGATTCATACAGTTTGATAACATTTGGCAAGTCTAGAAGACCCAAAAGATTAAATTGTTTTATTCCCATTTAAGTTAGCAAAGTGCTAAACCAGAAGTTAGCCACTCGGCCTTTTGGCAATTGAAAGTCAGAAAAGATATATATATATATCTAGATTTTTTACGATTAGTTTGATGTTCAGTTCCAGCTTTATACATTTATTTTGATATTTCTTGCTTTGAGTTTATTATTCAGTGCCTAAGATTGTTTTACTCATTTATTTTATTTATTATTCTTTCTATTTTTTTATTTTTTTTTATTTTTTTTGCAATTTGGGGTGGGGGGCGTGTGTTTGGATTGATCAGTCAAATAATTGGGTACTGGCTTTTCCATGGTCTAAACTACCGTTACTATATCAGCCATTAAAAATCCACCATCAGTTGACCTCTAATTATTTTGATCTCTATTTTCTTACCATTGACCATGAAGGACTGGACTAAGTAAGATTATGTTAAACAACACAAATTCCAGTTCCACTCCAATAACTGTGCCGGAGCAACCATGGTCAGAGCCTGTGATGCAGGCACTGAGCCAGTCGTTTTCCATATGCCAGGAATGGCACAGTTGAAGGTGTTGTTTACCTCGATGATGTGTTAGAAGTATGAGTTCATCCAAACTAAAGGAAGCAAACTATGGCCTACAGCTCGTCATCTAATAAACTCACCACAGCTGCTGCTTTTGTTCTTACTTGCAACCCCTTGCAAGACTGACACACGATATTGATACCATGTCATGTCTGTCAGGCAAATACAGAGCTATGGTCAGTAGCTAGCTAAGTTAGCTTAGCACAAAGACTGGAAACAGGTGCAAAAATGTAGCCTGACTCCCACTACATTGAACAAAATCCACTTACCAGCACCTCTCACTAATTGACATCTTGTATGACAATTACTACAAAGAAGAAGGGGCTGGGTTTTGGCCCTGCATGGTGAGCCTCAAATAATTTGTCTTCCAGTTCAATGTGCAGAAGTATGTATCATCTTTTGATTTACTTGGCCATTCGGTAGACAGGGCCCTACAATCCATGATACACCATTATGTGTGTTTTCATTCATTATGCTTGATTAACAGGCTGTTTAATTGACATGTCTCTGACTCTTCTGTTCTGCACAATCATTATTCTAAAGGTGCAGTCACACTTTGTTACCTATTCATTTTGTCAAGGAAGAGGCCAGGACATATCCACTTCCCGTTATGAGTTGATCCCACCCTGTTTGCATCCCCACAGTTTATGCTTATAATCCTGCCCACCCTATTTCTTGTCTTCACCGCTGTCACATCATTACCGTGCCACTAAATTTGATCTTGTGAAACCTGGTCTGCTGGTCTGCTACTTTGGTTAGCTCATGTAAATCCTAGCACAACTTTGCCTACATCAGCCAGAATGACTGAAAACACCTGTGTTGACTTACACAGCCATGCACTTGCATTTATACAGAAGGGGTGAAAATCATCAGAGGATTCACCATACAATACATGATACTTAAGTCACGATACAATATTATGTTGCAATTTTAAATATGTTGCGATATGCTGAGTACTGCGATAAAGTATACAGTGACATATTGCGATTTATTACCTTTTTTCAACTGTAAATTATGTTCCCAGGGGAAAACTTTGTCAACATCTGTTTTATCTAATAAGATAAAGTTTTTAGTTCATCTCACTTTAGACATTTTTTTTCCAACAGCATGATGTATGTAATGGACTGAAAAAGCAATTGATTATATTATTCTAGTAGACAACCTTAAGCTAAATTTGTATTTGCAATTAGGGCTGCCACAATTAGTCGACTAATCGATGACTAATCGACTATTAAAATAATCGGTGACTATTTTAGTAGTCGACTAATCGGTTAGAGTCATTTTTCATAGAAAAGTACTATAAACGTACCCCAAAATACTCTTACTGCAGCTTCTTACGTTCAGATATTAGCAGCTTTACACACTCTCCCGAGACAGTGAACTAAAAACCCTTTGGCATGAGTATAAAACAAGACATTAGATGACGTAATTTTGGGTTTTGGGCGAGACAGACCGACATTTTTCAACATTTTAATACATTTTTTGATGAAATGATTAGTCAACTAATCGAAGAAATAATCGACAGATTAGTCGACAATGAAAATAATCGTTAGTGGCAGCCCTATTTGCAATATTAATATTTTACATAATAAAAAAATCGATACTTGGCACTGTGTGACAATACGATATTGCCACACAAAAATATTGTGATACTATGCTGTATCAATTTCCCCCCCAACCCTATTATATAGAGGAATTCGGCGAGCGATTTGTGTATGCCGCCAACTTGCAGCGGCGCCATTACAGTGGTGACATGTGTCAGTCCTCAATTCATTATGCTGTCATTGTAAACTTACTCTCTGCAATGACAGCATCATGAATAGCTGGATTGACGATGTTAGACAGTGGCCTCTGGTAACTGATGAAGGTATCTTAAATCAATCAGAGACCTGTAATTGCCGTTCTTCTGGTCATCGGAGGCCAGGCGATCAATAAAATATTCTTGAATACCTAAAACAAAACACAAACATGTGTTGTTGTTGTTTTTAGTCACGTAGCCTGTCCATAATGATTAAATGTCACGCTGCTAGCTTGCTAACGTCAGCACATGTAACGTATGCTAACGTTATATTACACAGTGTTTAATGATACAGTCTATTATCTCCCTATTACTCTAATCTTTCCTGCTTATCGCTCAAACAAATGATTAATTTCTATATTAATATTGATACTCATTTAAGATACCTTCATCAGTTACCAGAGGCCACCGTCTAACATCATCAATCCAGCTATTCATGATGCTGTCATTGTAAAGAGTCAGTTCACAATGACAGCATAATGAATTGATGACTGACACGTCACCGCAGCAATGGCGCCGCCGCAAGATGGCGGCATACACAAATCGCTCGCCGAATTTGTCTATAGCCTAAATATATGACTCTAATATCTAATTTACATGGGGTTTTCTCTGCAAGTAGCAAATACCTGCTGCTTGAGTAAGGCTTTCATCTAAAAAAATAAACATGCATTTTGTATTTTGATAATAATAAATCAATTCTTGATCATTAACACAGCTGACAAGCCCCTCAAGAAAACTGCTAAAAAATCTGCATCCACAGTGGCAGTTAGTGAGCAAAGCAATACAGATGGCAAGACAGGCATCAAATATCACAATGTTTTGGATAAATACATCAGTATCGATAATTTGGGAGGAAGCAAAACAACCTGAGTAAAGATTTGCTGGATAAAACAGAAGAACTCAATCATTTCACTGAACAAGAACAGTCTGACAAATTCTGAAAATTGTTTCCTGTATCTGTAATGTATCTATTTTGAGACCAGAAAAAGACAACTTTCATCACATTACAATACATTACGGCTCAAGGGTAGCACAACATAAGACTATAGCCTGCCATCACCAGAACTTTTAGATACATTAATTGACATTTGAAACAAAAAAACTTTAATGGAAACCAGTAGTCTTCAAAGAAATTACTATTTTATTGTTTCCTCTTTCTGATAAACAGGATGGTAAACCACTGCCCTGCTGAATCATAACAAACTCGTTATCTAAATGCCTTTATGGCAACATCAATCAATACTGATAAGCACTTATGTAGGTTGCTACTTGTTTGTGAGCAAAAATAACACTTGTCAGTCCAAGTCCGAAGTTCACACCAGATGTCTTTCCTGCCATGAAATGGTTAGTATATAAACTACTGATAACACTACTATTGAGACAGACTTATGAGAACGATTTTTGCCGAAAGAAGAAAACACAAGTTGCACATTTAACAATCCATAAAGAGCAACTACAATATCTCAACATAAACATAAAAGAGACTGTGGACTGTAATTCAACAATTGCCAGGATTTTTCACATCAACGATCCTGAAACGAATCAACAGAGCCTTCTGGATAAGACTGTGTTCCAAACAAAAAAACTCACTGCTTGAGGATTCATGCTGATGACTCAGAAGATTAAATAACAAAGAGAAGCAACTATTTCTCATTCTGTTAGAGGCACCCCGGACCCCTCCTCATGGTTCTCTTCGAGCCCAAGTTTGGGATCCCCCGCTGCAAATCATACAACAAACGGCACTGATTGTGCCTGGTGCACAACGTAACCAAACCCCAAAGCCTAATATCATGATCATCTTTTGGCAACCACTGCGGAGACTGCAGAAACCGAGCGGTCGCCACATTTCCACTGCCAATGCCAACACTGTGTCACGATATTTCATAACCAAACATGTCCCTGCTGTTTCGAAACAGCTAACGTACGGTCTCTGCACGGGCTGAAACCACACGGTAAAGTGTCATTTGAAGAGCTGTGCGATGAGGACGTGAATGTTATCACAGCAGGACGGATGCTGTCGAAGAAACTGTGTGCCAGATATCCACCAAGGCCTGTTTACATAGCTAGCGTGATAGCATTGGATAGCACTGTTCACTTAGGTCACGTTCAGTTAACATTTAACAAGCCCAACGACCGGTACCTACCTCTGCACGCGCTTCCTTCGAGCCCCGGTAAATGCCGACATCAGTTAATGCTAGTCTAGCATACCGGGGGCGGTTTCCCCACCTATTATCCATAACAGCATTTGGTCCCGTTGACTAATATTAGCATACAGCTGCTAGCTAAGGAACGCTAACTGTCAAGACCTGGCCAGCGAGCTAACGTCCCTCCTCCTGCTCTAGAAAACCACACTGACAAGACCACAGAGCTGGGAAAACATCGACGATACCCATCATGGATTAAAACCTAGCAACGTCAGCGACATGCAATATCGATAACCCGTAGGCATGTTTTCATTGTATACTTACAGTAGGTCCAATGAGGTTGGTCTATCCATTGAAAGCCGTTCGTAATATGTAATAGCAACTCACAGAACTGTGACATAAACGATTTTCGATCGGTGACCCAGTTTCTCTTCACCGTCATGCCTGTCGGACCACTAACCTAGTTTTTCAGCCAATGGCGTTTGTGCCACCGCCGTAGGTGCCGCTCTAGCCAATCAGACGCAAGTTCAGGCTGGGAAACTATGATGGACGTAGTAATTGACCAATGAGAGCCAGTGTCGAACGGAATGCAGAGGCTACTTGTGTGTGAGAGTGTGCGTGAAGAACACTGCATTACGAGACATGTGGTAGGCGTAGGAGCATACTGGCCCTGTACCTATTGCCTCCTCACACTGTATTTTGACACTTTGAATTGATTTATTAACTTAAAATGATATGATAACCAGGTCTCTTCACTTATCGAATCCAGACTATATGAGATATATGATATGAGGGGATATATATATATATATACATACATACATATTACATACATGTTTTGTGAGGTACTGTCCATTTTTTGTAAGACAAGGGGGGTAGCTGGGGTGTGACTAATTTTTGTTTTGTTTTTTATAACTCTCCCTGAAGCTAGAGACATTTTTCTTGAGCCTCCCTAAGTGACTGGCAGTAAATCCATGCCATAAATGAGTTATTAGATATTTAAAACGTACTATTTGAGGTTTGAAAGTTTAAAAGTTGAAGACGAAAGACTAGAGTTGTAAAAAGCCTCACCTTTTCAGGCTGCAAACAGTTTATTTTTGGTCAAATTTTAAGTGAGATATAGCATAAAATAATTTTATCACTATTTTAAGCTTAGATTTTTTTTTCTGACGGAAGCATCTTTCACTGATGATGTGTCCAAGGACTGTCATAAAAATGATAATCCATTTATCATTTCTGTTTTTACAGTTCTTGGCTATGATAATGAGTGTAATTTTAGTGTCATTTTTAATGCCTTCCCTGACCTTCAAGCACGTTTCTTTTTTTAAATATGCAGTCAAATAAACACAAAATGCAACCAGTTAAATTTGTATGCCCCTCCCCTAAGCCAATAGAAAAACGTAAGTCTCTCCCAAGTCCTTAAAAGATTTGACATGCCTCACCCTTTTGCATCACCCCCTCCCCTCACATAAGTAACGGACAGTCCCTAAGAACGCAGTTAGTGTAACCTGTTGAGAAAAATGTGTTTATGGTATTTCTTCACTCCTTCAGTTGGGTTTTTCCTTTAATTTGGCACCTGTGCAAACACTCAGTGGAAAGCATTATGATGCATTCCACTGATGAATGCATCAGAGAGCATAAGCATATTTTAGCAAACTCTACATAAACAATTCATCAAAATAAACTACCATAACCCTCCTCAAAACAAGAGAGTGAGTTACATTTCAGTGTTTCATTATTTCAACATTTAACATTTAGATTTAAATGCCCATTTTCAGTTTGCTGGTTTGTTCATCTGAGAGTGTTTACTCTTTCCTTCTTTATGGAGTCATAGAATATTATTGCATTCATTCTGTAAAAGGAAGAAATCGTGTGACTCACAAAGTGCACTGTTATAGTAGACTACACAGTGCCATAGCCTGACCTTTATTACCACTAACATTAATACATGAATCTAGGTTGATCTGTAGAGATAAAATGAAAATGATGATGACTGGTATTCATTTAAACAGTATATGAACATAAACACAATACCAAAAAGTGTTGTGGTGGAAAATTAATAAATGTACTGTATGGGCTTGCTTCAAGGCAACATTTGCATTTTAACAATTTCCTATTACTAAATGATCACATAAAGTACACAATTTGAAATTAAACTTTATTAATTGTTATTGTGAATCAATTTGTTTTCCAGATTGTAAAACAAAAATTACGTATTCAGACCATTTTTGTTGTGAGAGTTGATGGCGCCAAACCATGTGAGGAAGGTCCCAAAAAAGAGACTCAACATGACCTCCAGACAGTCATGTGACAATAGAAACAGTGCCACTGGGTTCTGTAGGGCCCTGACTGTTTTTTAAAGTACTGCAACATAACTGAAGATGTATTGTGTGAGCGTAAACAGCCAAAAATGGGGATGTTACATAAAGGCAACACTGTACCATAGAAGGCAAGAGGAGCCATCATGTATTTGGTATCATTGAGGGGTTAAGAAAGCGAGTGATGGTAAACTTATTCTAAAAGTGATTTAGAAAAAGTGATATTGTGATTTTAGCTGTTTTTTTTTGTTTGTCTGTCTGTTTTGTTTTAGTATCAAGTGTAACTATTTTTTTTTTGTTTGGATAGAGCATCCAAGAAAACAATTCACTTGTTCGTTGTTTGCTCAAGATCCATAGCTGCCTGCATTGTGCATATTCACTTCACGCCCCCTGCTGGTCATATTTTTACCTCCTCTACACAATGGGCTTCTGTAATATGACAGTGTAATATTAAAGATAAAATGTGCACGTGTAATTGATGTGATTTCTTTTTCCAATTTAAGTTTTTTTTTTATTAGCAATGTTAAAACAAAGTAATGATGTAGATGTGGAACACAGACAAACACTATGCAGACATTTATGGTCATATTCAAAGGGGCCCTGAGGCAAAACTTGGGTGTTCATGGTAATGTTTATAAACACAAATTTGTACATGTTAAATTTTGACACATGGCTCCTCTCGCCCTCAGTGCTACTGTGCTGCCGTTAGGTAACATCTCCATTTTTGTCCGTTTACACTCACACAATACATCCTCAGTTATGTTGCAATACTAAAACAGTTAGGGACTTAAGGAAACCAATGGCACTGTTTATATTGTCACATGACTGTCTGGAGGCCATGTTGAGTCCCTTTTTTGGGGTCCTCATCACATGGTTCAGCGCCATCATCTCTCTCCACAAAAATGGTCTAAAAATGAGTAAAGTTTAATTTTAAATTGTTTAAGTAATAGAAAATTGTTTGAATGCAAATGTTGCCTTGAAGCAACATACGTTTATTAATTTCCCACCATGACACTTTTTGGATAATAGTACAGTAATTAATTCAAATGTGTTTTTTATGACAAAAATGAAAAATAAAAATTCTTATCAACTGACATCATAACGAGTACCATACAGGGCTAAAAGACTGGTAAGACTAATAATACAGGTCTCACATTAAAACCATTCATGTAAGATGATATTGTGCTTTAGTGGTGTAGCCTTTGTGGTGTGGAGGGGCCTTTGAGGAAGTTCTAGGGGGTCCCCAGAAAAATGGAGAAGAGTTTATTTTTTTTACTACATTTGAGAGCCCAGTGTGAGTAAGAGTCGTAAGTGTGACTATTCTGATCCAAGGTTTCCCTTCCTCCATGATTATCTCCTCAGTTGTAGATAATTCTGGTCTGAATCATATCTAACAACCAAAATCTTTTCGCTTGGAGGTCCCTGAAGTGAAATCTTATCAAATGGGGGTCTGTGACATAATAAAGGTTGGGGTGTACTGGTGTAGCCTGCAGCAGATTCATTAAGCTCAATTTGCAATAAATCAAATTACTACAAACCAACCAGCATGTAATGAATTTGTCTAGTAAAGCATATACAAATGAAAGAAAATACTTTAGCAAAGATGTAAGTAAATACTAAAGGTTACTAAATGTATTTTCACCTGGATTTATTTGTGGTAATTTCATGTGGGTCAGGAATTCACTCGGCTCATTAGCTGCATTAGACAAAAAAGAAAAAGTACTGTGATGAAGGTCAAAATAAACGACCTCTTCCATACCGATCTTTTCATTTTGAAAAATTATTGTCATATTAATTTACCGCCAATTTGTTGAGTGATTTAATATTTTCCACATCAAATACCTTTGTATTAGTGGTATCAAACTGCTTTTGGGTAAATAAAACAATCAGCAGCACCAGCTAGAAGTTTCACTTATTATATTATACACTTATAACACAGGGGTTGTTAATGCCATTGCTTACATTATTAAATAAGTTACATACATTCTCTCAACTGCAGCCACTTTATCATATTATTCTTATTTTGACTAGCTGTCCTTTGGAGTGTGAGGATTTTGTTTTCGATATTTGTAAAGAAAAATAAGCAAGACTGTGTGCCCGATTAATATATTTACAGTAATTCAGATCTCAGGTCTCAGTGAACTGGATGAACCTTCTGTCATTAAACAAACCAAGGGTGCAGTGATTTCAAACACTGGACAACAGGTGTCGCTGTCTATTTACTTTCATTTTATCCTTTGCTGTTTTGGAATGAAGTCAGAGTGGTCTGATGAAGCTGCCCTACTTCCTACTTTTGTCTCCATATGACACCACATGACTATTACTATGTGTCACTGACAACATTAAACCAAAGCCTCTGTAACTAGTCAGGCTTGTTATGAGCTTAACAGCCTATTTGTAATTTACTTGTTAAACCAAAGTAATGCTAGCTGCATTTTCTTGGCATTGATCACCTGAATTATTTGCCGACCTTATGTGTAGCGGTAAGTGTATTCTCCACACGATTTTTTGATGGTAATTAACATGGAAGTGGAATAATGTGTAGTTGGTGGGTTGCTAAAACCTAAATATTTAGCTTTTGTTAATATAATCGCTTTTGTTTGGAATGCATTTTTAATTTCTCCTACCTATTTGTGATTACTTGGACCTGATAAGTACAAAAAACTAAACATTGTCTTTGAACAGTAAATAGTTTAGAAAAAAAAAAAAAAGGATGTCCCCCTGGCTTGGCATTGATACGCCTCTGTACATACTACTGCTAGATAGCACAAAAAAGTGTCCACAAACTTGGACAACGGGTCTAAGTTAAGCAGAGTGAAGTATAAGGTGCATGAAACTCAAAATGTAATGTCCTAGTATGAGGACACAGGGTCTCAGGAGGAAATAGCTCATATAAATATGTCTGTATATGTCATATATGTCATATAAAGTATACATATTTACTCCTACAAGAGTAAAATATTTATACATTCATATATATGTATATATGTATACATATATACATATATATATATGTATGTATATAACTACCTCAGTGATTACAATACAGAGAGAGTCACACCGGCCAAATGTTGACCTTGTCACCAAGTTCTATGTTGGTTCCTAAGATACCAGGTGCAACAGCTTTTGTATAGGTTTTTATTTTTATTTTTATTTTTTTTAATGGAAGCAGAAAAACCTGACCCAGATTTTAAACATAAATTAATTTAGGAATATGCATCATGTGAGCACTGAAAACAGGGCTGTTTTTCTGACACCATTAAAGGTTGACTATTTTAAAATGTGTGGTTTTGGCCACACTACACACATATGATGATCTCATAGACTATGATGCATTGCTGTAGATTGTAAATCCCAACAGTACATAAAGGAGTTAAAATGAGCACAACCTTAACCCCTTAACGTCCACTTTAATTAAATGCAATGCATTTTTTTGCATTTTTAATTTCCTTTGGGCATCAATAACAAAAATCAGTGTTTTATTATGTTCTTTTCTTTTCATTTCTTTTTTTAACAGACCTCTTATTTTTTTAATCCCTCACTGCATGTTTTTTGTGAAACAGAAAGAAAAAAAAAATCTGGAGCTAAATGTGAGAAAATGTTGCTGTTCATTTTAGCATGTGCCATTTTAGAAATGACGCCTCACAACCACAAAGCTTAAGAAAAACAGGTCTGAAAGCTATATTTGGAAAAAGGGCCTCTCTTCAAGACGAGTTATAAAGCAGCACCCAGCTGAAAAACCCTGTCACATAGGTTGGTATCGTCCTTTAGTACACAATCCCATACTCCCAAATAAAGTCACACAGGGGACCTAGTGCTTTTCAGGGCCTCTGGGCTCATCTGTGTCATCCCAGTGTACCTGAGGGTACACAAGGACCAGAAGAGACAAATTCACTTTATTATTCAATACTTTATTACACTTCATTAAAACAAACAAACAAACAAACAAACAAAAAAGACCACCTTAGATGTGAAGCAGCAGTGAAATGCAATAATATATTGTCATGATGTTGATGGAAGAATACAATGAGTCACATTTACTGTCTGCACACATTTCTAATCATTATTTTGTGTCTAAGAAATACAGACCAATAAAATAAAAGTATGTTGGCATGGTTCATTCTTGGTTTGATCTCTGGGTCAAGATGGTGACCTGGATGTGTGTGTTCATCATTACAGTGATACATCAGTTGTTTCTGAAAGCTCATACACATCACCTATCTATGGAAACACCCACATAATGGAGCCAAGTGTGTGCCGTTGCCTTTGTTAAATGCTTTATATGAGAAGAGGGAAAATTGCCAGTTGCTAGGTTAATTTATACAATGTAAAATGCATTAAGCTTGTGCTAATAACGTTAGCATGTTACATTTGTTTGGAAAACGTGTTTGGTGTGACAGTTGTTTTGTCGGTGAGTCTTGTGAGTTATAATGGAGCCAAACTGTGTGCCGTTGCCTTTGTTAAATGTTGCTGCTGTCCCTGGCTTTATATGGGAAGAGGAAAAGATCGCCGGCCGCTAGGCTAATCAATACAATGTAAAATGCCATAGGTTTGTGCTAATAATGTCATATTTGTTTGGAAAACGTGTTTAGTGCAGGACAGTTGTTTTGTCAGTGAACTTTATGAGTTGTAATGGAGCAAAACTGTGTGCCGTTACCTTTGTTTCATGTTGCTGTTGTCCCTGGTTTTATATGAGAAGTGGAAAGGATCGCTAACTTAGTTGCTAGGCTAATTTATACAATGTAGAATGCCATAGGCTTGTGCTAATAACGTTAGCATGTTGTATTAGTGGGGAAAATGTGTCCGGATTAACACAAGTGTCTGTCTGTGAATGCTGCGAGTTATAGTGAAGCCTATTTGTGTACTTGTGTTTGAAATCATCTCTATTAAGACACGTTTAATGTGTGTCTTGGGTGTGTTTTGAATCAACTAAACTTTAGGGTGACCATATTTTGATTTCCAAAAAAGAGGACACTCGGCCGGCCACGACAAAGCCTACTTAAATGATACTCGCAGTTTACTCAAAGATGCCTTATAGTTTTAATATATTTAAAATTTATATGTATGGATAGAAAATTCAGTTATATTACAAAATAATGTCTCTCAAAGACAGAAATTCAGATAGGCCCCAATAGGGGACACATACACACACTAGAGTGTGGCGGTCCGAGCCCGACGGTACCGGGTCGGGCCGGGTTTGGTCAAAAATGTAGCTATAAATTGTATTCGGGCTGGGGCCGGGTTTGGTCAGCTTTCAGTGAAAATGTAGTGTAAAATAGGCTGACCAAACGTCCTCTTTTGCCCGGACATGTCCACTTTTCACATCCCTTCCAGGGCGTCCGGGGTTTTTTTTATAAACTGATGATAATGTCCGTTTTCCGTGTGTTTGTGTGTGTGTGTTAGAGTGCGACACAGGCCGCATATTTCTGTCCGAACCCAAACCGAGCCCGACATTATTTAATGACCAAAGCACTGAGTTTGTGTCACACAGTGGTTACAGGCTATTTAACAGTCCGGGCGTGCGCCGTGGGTGCTCAGCTGCGGAGAGGGAGACCTCCGTGTTTGAGACGGGAGCGGGAGGCGGGAGGTCCGACGCTTCTAGCGAGGGGAGAGGGAGAAATAAAACAAAATAAGATAAAATAGGAAAAACCTGTCTCCCTCTTTTATTTTATTTTCAGCGTTTAATCAAGGCGGAGGCGGGCGGCTGGAGGTCCGAGACTTCCAGAGAGAAGAGAGGTAGAAACAAACAGCCAGTGTGTGTCTGTGTGTGTTATGTTCAGGTGTTGTCACGTAAATAACAGTGCCCAAGCAATAAACAGGACAGACAATAGGATTTTATTTATTTTACACTGTAGGGTGACCATATTTTGATTTCCAAAAAAAGAAGACACTCGGCCGGCCGTCCTATTTTCATTCATTCATCTTCTAACCGCTTCATCCTCTTGAGGGTCGCGGGGGGGGGGGTGGACCAGCTGACTAGTAACTATTTTAAAGGTATTATATTCATAATATTCAGTAATTCAAAGATGTCTTAGCAACATTTGTTTTGTCATACTAAAGGTTTATCTCACTCCACCACCTGAGCTGCTGCTGTTCACCATGGACGAAAAAAGTAAGTATGAGTCTCTGACTTACTAAAACAGGGACCTAGGCTGGAGTATAATATAATATAAAGACAGAAAGTTATGTGTACTATTGTGCAAACTAGCTACAAACTCTATGCCACGCCTGTTTCTTTAGATAATATCACTTATTTATTAATCTGTTTTACTAACCATTATTCATGTTCCCTCTCTCCCTGAGCTGAGTGAGCCCTGGTTACCTTGATGACAGCACAGAAATACTTACATGCAGCCAACAGGACAAGCTGGAGAGCAGACAGAGGTATGAAACAGTTAATGACAACATTAACAGCAAGTCTTAATGTTACTTATTTAACCATTTAAAGATGATCAATGTTACTCATTGTACTTTAATATTTCTTTTAAACTGCTGTATTTTACAGAGACTGAAGGTTCCTGCAGTGCATCCAGAGTTACCTTTACAAGACAGCTGGAGAGAAGTGGTCGTCTGCATTTCAGTCCACTGTGTAAGTATCTTATTATTACAAAAATAGCAATCCATCAACATGATGAAGATATTTCTTATAGCTAACTGCTTGTTCTCCTCTTGTGTGCAAGGGCTCCTGAGAGTGGATGTGAACCAAACCACAGAAAGCTGCCATCCCAGCCGTCCACTGAGCGCACTCTCTCCCACTAATGTCTGAACTGCACTGGTTTGGTGTTGCATTCAATAAAACACTCAGACATATCTTCAGTGATGTTGACTTCATGTGAAGCTTTTTAAATAGTGAATCAACTGCAGGTGCATAACATGTATAAAACAGCTTTGCCACCTGAACCAGCTTTTCTCTGTGGTCAATTCATGAAACACAAATTAATTTAGGAATATGCATCATGTGAGCACTGAAAACAGGGCTGTTTTTCTGACACCATGAAAGGTTGCCTATTTAGAAATGTGTGGTTTTGGCCAGTTTTTTTAATCCCTATATTGAACAAGTGAGAAGTCACTGCATGGTTTTTGTTATTATTATTATCATTATTATTATTAGTAATGATAATAATAATGATGATGATGATGATGATGATGATGATAATCATCATTTTTGTATGATTTGAAAACAGTGACAATTTTATTCAATCTGAGGATGACACATGACACACTCAGGTGAAACCAGCTATTCTAGAAGCATACCTGAATCTGGTCTGACTCCATACTTCATATACTTGTGTCTCATGCCCTGGAGCACAGGTTATGTCACAATTGTTTTGCAACAGCAGCTTAACCCGATTTGGCTAATAACACATTTCCTTGGATCTCCTGATCCAAATGATTGAATAAATCAATGAATTAACAAGGTCAGCTGGGTCTGGGTCCTCAGCTGTAAATAAAGCCCTCCAGTTTTCACTTAAAAACAATTTGTTCAGTGTATGACAGGTAAAAATAAGATCAATTCCAACACAGAGGATGCAAAAATGTCACTGCTCACCTTACAAACAATTATATAAATAAATGTTTTACATAAAACATTTAGGCATACAAATCAGTTACATCAGAAACAAATACTGCCTATACATACAAAAAAGATGGGAATAGTTTGAGTGCTATTACAAACATACATTACGCCACTAGATGACAGTGTTGAGTCATAATGAAACAACATAATATATGAAAGTAAAATTCACACAGTTTTCATTCATGTTGAGTGGCTGTTGTGGGCTGTATTTTATTTACTGTATTGTTTGTGCTTTTTTTCAAGTGTAAAATTTTTAATCAAAAAGTTAACAAATTGTTGACTAAACCTCTTCAAGATACTAGAAACATTATTCAATATTCTTATCATTTCCGAGTAGTATCTGTGGCATTCATTAGAGTTTATAACAATCACACATCAATTTTTACAATAATCTTGAGGGGAAAAAGGCTTATAGTTGTTTTACGTTAGTGTGGTTGGCCTATTCTTAATGAATAACTTCCTTCTTTTTCCTGAAAATATGTGAGACTGATATGCAACCTGAAGAACTTTTTGGAGGAGTATTGAGTTTAATGTCTCTAAATTTAAATTATCCCACAAATCATTAATTTACGGTTGTGCTGCCTTCCCTTACTGTCGGATATTTGATTTTTCTGTGTTTCGGCACAGGTAATTTTGAGTCAAAACTATAAATAAATACGGGTAAGAGCCTGTCTGTGAGGTTTGTATTGCCAACGTGCTATGTGGTTAATTCAGTGGCATATTACATGATACAGTAATAGACACGGCGAATAGGCATTTATCGCAAGTAATATGAAAACAAATTGAGTTTGCATTAAAGTAACAGTTAAGGAGTTAACCTACTTGCATGACACCTGTTGTTATTCACTGATAAAGATGACTTATTTTGCACCATATCTCGAATCATTAGTGAAACAAACATGTCCAATATGAATTTAACGTCAGGCAGTGGAGGACGCGAGATATTCCGAGCGGCTCCTGAAGGCATCGTGCCTATCACATGGCAGGTGATAGTCGAGGAAGCTCGCGCTTCACTTAAGCGCTCAGTACAGACGCGGGGCAACTGTACAGTTCAGAGGACTCTGCATGTGTGAGTGTGTTTTATGTGTGTGCGAGGGACATGTGTGAGTGTGTGTATGACTGCGGGCTCACTTTATCTTCAAGTGTCTCTCGCGAACGATATTAAAGGATTTTGTCCGGATAAAGCCTCAGAGGAGTCGCGTTTGGTAAGAACTGCATGAGGCTAATTACCAACTGCATTAACCTGCTCTGCTCTGTCATACAAAAGTGTCATTTAGCATAGAGGCTAGTTCATTACTCGGGATTTCACATGATTATTATCGTCATACTGCAGGAGGCAAGTTTACTATAAACTTTGCCCGCATATAAGTGTAACAAATAATATACAAGTCCATAAGGCTGGATTTAGAGGACTGTCAACAGTGTTGTGTGGCTGGATATCTTGAATATTGTGAGGTTTAAACATTAGGGTTGTTTTTTTTTTTTAACGCAGTAAGTTAATAGTGATTCCATGGTTTACAGACTGTTGTCCCTGAGGAAAAACCATGATAATATAGCAGGGCCGTAGCCATAGAGTCAGTATTGGGGGGGACCAAATTTGGGGGGGTATTTTTGTGACTTACAGCCATGCAATGATGATTGTGGGGTAATATGTATGTTAATGTTATCCAATGTCACGTCTGTGATCATGTTATGAGACGATATGTGCAGGATAGCATGCACTGTCGGGCATAGGCGTTTCTAGCCCATTTTTGGGGGTGCTGAAGCACCCCTAAATTGAATCCCAGCACCCCTAAAATATGAGTGATTTTTTTTAAATTTTTTTTTTTTACTGTATGTCCCTTTTTAACAAGCTAGAAAAGTGTCAAAACCATACAGTACTTGGTTGCAACGTAATATTTTAACAACAAAAATACAGCCCCCCCCCCCAAAAAAAATGGTTTGATCCACCCCATCCCTCGACTCGGGCTCTGAGCGCTCTATCTGCACAGAGCAATGCGCTGCCTTCCAGAGTGGGAGATATGCAGTAGTGTAAGTAGTGTAAGTACCTGGCTTAAACCAGGATATGTGGCACATTTCTTAACTTCTGCCACTCAATACCAACACATTATTATCATTACCAGTCCTCATTTTTGCTGCATTTAATCGTAGGCCACTGTTTATGTTGTTAGGTAGGAGTTAGCTGACGTTTTTTCTAGCTACGAAACGTTACAGGTGGTCAGTACCACTGTCCTCTGTTTGAATTGGAATGAGAGAAGCTAGCTGTTGTG